CACACACACACACACACACACACACACACACACACACAAACATGGGGCACATCCTGTCGAACAGAGGTCACGAAATACCTGGTTAGACATGAGCTACATCTGGCATCATAGGGCCAGGTCTGGCCAATCAAAGCCAATCTACTGTCTTCCCCCGAGCATAACGCATATGTGTTGTATAACTTGTATTTGAGTTTTCAAAAAAATCGTCAATGATTGGAATAGAACGCCTATGCATTGTATTCGAAACGAAGCACTGTTCGAGTAGAACGCACATGCGTTGTATTCAATTAGAAAGCAGTAAATTAGAATGCATATGTGACATTATGTGTTATGTTCAGGGGAAGACAGTACCCATGTGGGCAACGTACAGCGTTATACAACCTAGGAAAGGTAGCAAAAGAATCGGCAGCTGATGATCAAGCGAAAAATCTTAAGAACTCGAAGCAAACTGCACCTCACTCCTCTGCACCCTCCTCTCTTCCCCCCAAAACACACACACACACACACACACACACACACACACACGCATGGATGCATGGGTTCGTAGAGTGGGTTTTATGGCTGTGACTGATTAGTTTTTTAGACCGACTATCATTCTTGTCAGGGGTTTGGACCGACAGTCTGCTACGATTGCAGAGTGGTGTGAGTAAAGTCGACCACATTTCTCAGGGGTATCGCTAACTTTTGCGTGACGTGGTGAGTCCTTATCCACAGTCAATTCCATCCTGGGCGAACTGTTGGGGTTCAATTCCTGACGAGCTGGTGAAAGTCCGACCAAACAGTCTGACACAGTCATGCTTGTTTTGTGGAGTTGGGTATAGTAAACACGACCCGCGACACACACACACACACAATTGTTCTCTAATCTCTGATTTGATTTCCTTCGTTACACACACACACACACACACACACTCGTACACACACACACACACAACACTGTTCTCTGCACCCGACTTTCGTCTCTGCTCGATGAGTCAGTCGTGCAGTCAAGCTCCCTTTTGCCTTCACACTCAATGGCTGATTCCCTCTCTCTCTCACACACACACACAACTGCTCTCCGAATCTCTAATACATTTACTCACATTTTGCCACTGCCACATTAAAAGAGGAGGAAGAAGTGAGTCTTAGTGGACATTGAAATTGTGCAAAGGCCTCGTACGAAGGTACTGACCTCAAACATTAGGCTATATCGTCCATCTCGATTGCGCATCCTCAGGTAGGACTGACACGTTTCAGGGTCTTCACCAGGGGGCAAGAGATAAATGTCATACGTCTGTTCAGTAAACTCCTTATGATTTGGAGACAACTGTGCTCTGATCTGGTCTTCCGATATCACCTTCGGAGACTGCCGCCGTCCCGCATACATGCGCATAAAACAATCACATCAAGACGTTCCAAAACTAACACATCAGCCAGATCTATGAACATCCTTGAGACACGTCAATCTCGTCAGTCAAACAGCGCACTGGTCTGTTTGATTTTATGTTAGGTCAAAAGCCAAACAGTCCCCCTTCAGTAGATAAGGGTCTACATTAGATTGTAGTCTAGAAGTCGGAACAACCCCGCGCAGCTCACAACTACGGGCAGGTGTTTAGGAAAAAACATGACACCATTCTCGCCAATATTTGAGTCATTTGAGCAAAAGGCACATGATCTTTAGTCTTGCTCTGTTCGGTCAATGGAAAATGATCTCATTCGAGCAAAACAGGCACATGATCTTCAGTGTTGCTCTGTTCGCTCTGCAGGCCCTTCCCCCAAAAGTTTCAGAATGGCGAAGCATAAAATAGGGCTCATTCCAACTTTTTTTTTAGGCAAGGTATGGAAGCTGTCCTTCCCATTCCCTTCTGCACATCCCACATAATGGTGGGGTAAATTCGCAAGAAGGGGTAGTCGCCTAATAACGACTTGCCCCGCGAAGCTTTGCAGATGTCACAAGTTACATTTTCCATGGCCGCCGACCTCCAATATATGCTGAAAATTGGCGTTCAGGTCCGCATGTCAGCAGTTATGGGTTAGCGGTGGAGGGAGGCCCTGAAAATCACGTGGAGACATGAACAGGGTCTAGCAGAATTGGTGACCCATAACTGCCGAGCTACAGCCCTGTACTCGAATCCACAGCATATATTGGTGGTCTGCCCCCATCTCTTCCACACATGATGAGGCCATCCTTCTCATTGAGGCAGTGGCCCTCAATGGCTCCACATGTATTGTAGGAGCCATTTGAGATACCTGCAGGGGCCCTGGAATTGACGTTAAGGGGACCCTTTGTTGTCTCTCTCTCTCTCTCTCTCTCTCTCTCTCTCTCTCTCTCTCTTGGGGCCTGTCTTTTTTTTTTTTTTTTTTTTTTTCGCACACAGGCGCACCTCCCTCAGCGTGCGCACCGCACACAGCGGACCACACTGCGCACAGTGCGCGCGCGCACAGCGCAGTTCGCACCGCCCCGCGCACTGGTGCGCCGCAACTATGGAATCAAATGATACTTCCTCATTTTTTTAAAAGCATCGCTTCAATTTCTGGCGTTAAGGTTATGCATGCTATTAACCCAGTTCATTCCATTTATTCCGTAGAACATATCACAAAGAAACCGCAACTAAAATGGGACCTGCCGAAAAAGACGCGCTGTGACGGAACAGCTGGCGTTAACGACAACTGGGCCTCTTAACTACCAGGGCCGACATCAACTAAGGCACAGCCACAGTGAACAACTGAGGCCGACAACAACTGACGCTGAAAACAACTGAGGCTGACAGCAACTGATGCTGACGAAAACTGGGGTTGGGGTTTATTGAAACCTGACAAAAACTGGGGTTGGGGTTTGGGGTTTATTGAAACCAGGGTTGACCACAATGAGGGCTGAATATGAAAGCTGGGATTGACAAAACTAAGTTTCACAAAGCTGGAGTGAGATCCGTGTGCTCAATGGAAAGCCATCCCAACAGGCGCAAGTGGAACATATCAAAACAAGATCCACCCAGCTTTACGGCACACAACATACAGAGACTGCAACTGCAGTGAGGGGTGCCAAAAGATTCGTTGTAGACAAACAACTGGAGCTTACAACAACTGGGGCAAACAACTACTACCTTCTTCACCCGAATACAATATACGGTCATTATGGCTGTATTTAGACTGAAAGATGCTCCAAATACAACAACTCGGGCAAACAAAAACTACCTTCTTCACCCGAATACAACGTACAGTCATTATGGCTGTATATGGAGTCTATGGACTCAAAAATGCTCCAAAATGGCAAATATGGCTATAATGACCATACGTTGTATTCGGGGGAAGAAGGTCGGGTTCACAAAAACAGGTGGTGAGAATAACTGGGGATGGCCGGAACTGGGGGTGACACACAACTGAGGCCAACAATAACTGCGGGTGACAACAACAAGAGTGGACACCTAGCGGGGTTATCAGGAGTGGGGTCGACGACAAGGACACAGCACATATTCAACCTTCAGTCACAACACAGTTACCAACTTACCACCATCAGGAGGGCTTTTTTTGATTTTTTTTCTTCTTTTTCTTTTTCTTTTAACCACCATCAGGCAGTCTTTCTTTTTTTTTTCTTCCTGTTCTTTTTCTTTTGACCACCATCAGGAGGCCTTTTTTTTGTTTTTTGTTTTTTTGTTTAACCACCATCAGAAGGTCCGTTTCATGAAAACATGAAAGTTTCCAGCACTGCACAGGCTTCTCTGAAATCTCCATGCATGAAGTTGCATGAAGTTGCATGAACACTAACAAATTTTACGTTGAAATTAACTTTATCAGAGAGACTGTCAACTAGAAATTCACATCCGACTCCATGATCCGAGATACACTTTTTTTTTTTTTTTTTTTTCTCTCCCCGTGATACACTTTTGATGCACACGACACACAAAACATCTTGTAGCATAAAGAGAAATGGTAGTCGGATTCACTGCACGCAGTGCACGGTGCACACGGTGTGGAAAGCAACCACAGTCATTAGGTGACCTAATGGCCGCCCTACTAGACATGCCAATAGTGACAAAATTCATGTGAGCTCCAAAATTGAATTCATCTCCAATTTTCCTTTTTTCTACGAAATGCTTTTATGAAACGGTATTCACCAGTTCGCAGTAGCTGATGCAGATCCCAGGGCTCGATCCCTAGTTCCCCATCCTACCTGTGTACAGTACCGGTGTCAACCCGTAGATTTGAACCGGCGACCTGTAGGACCGCCAGTGGTAGGTAGGATTTCGTAGGGTATAGGGTAGAAGARATTCAAACTGTTGACCTGTCGGGTAGAAGTCTAGACAGTCTAGATGTCGTAGCTGTAGACTGTCCGAAGGGTCAAGGTCGTAGCTGCTACTTACCTGAAAGGGCAAAGTCGTAGCTGCTACAGTACCRAAAGGCCAAAACAGAGAGTTCTAGAAGTGGCCTTTCGGAGTCAGCCTACGTTAGGCAGAGGCAAGTGGTCAAGTGGTGGCAGTCCACCACGTACAGTCAGCAKTCCCAGTCCACCCAGTCCGGTCCAGTCAAGCAAGTACCGTCTGGGACTGTGCACACCGTGGGACAAGGGATACAGGGCAGACCAACGCATCTCAGAAGTATAAAGCAAGAGGCTGCGCCCAGCCATTCATTCATTCATGCGGAAGCCATGCGGAAGCGCTGCCTTAGCGTCTTGTGCAAGGAGGTCTGCAGTGTGCCCGAAGACGAAGTGGGCGAGAGCGAAGCAGTGTAGTCATAGTGATAGGTAGCGGCAGCCATAGCTGCCATAGCGTAGTGTAGGGTGTAGCGTGTGTGTACTGTGTGTGTGTTCTGAGTATTGCGTGTGGGACATCCAGGGTGATCCAGAGTGTGAACAGAGTTGTTTGAGGCGCACAGCCGCCATAGCCAGTGGAAGCGAACTGTTACTTGGAAGCCATATCTCTGAGTTTTGTGTGGGCGCATGGCGCCAGTTTGTTGTTCTGCTGTTCACGTGCATGAAAAGTGTGAATAAGTCAAGATTGCATTTATGCCTCAACTGTTGGCAAGTGGCTGCAAATCCCTCCGTGTGTCAGGCCCATGACAAAGCATCACCACCTCTCCTCGACCCAATAACTACACCATGTCAGACCACGTTCAGCTGCAAAATCGTTTGAAGGGGCTATAATACAACTGGTCTAATTCAGTTGGCACACCCCTGAACTGTGGAAATACAGACCTGAGTTCGAACTCCACTTGAAGCAGATGAAGCAGATGAGTGAAAAATACTGCGAATTTGAATTACCCAGGGACGGTCTGATCAAATGATGAAATCTTATGAGACCGTTGCCAAACGTAGTGGTGGTCGTTTACTAACAAGGGAGAACAGACATCCCAGTATTTGCCAGGCAGGCCAGGCCTCCTCAATGTCCTCATATATCATAATAAAATAAAAGACTACTGATTCAAGGTTTTCCTTCTCTCACCTTGAGGATGTATGATGCATTCTGAAAGCCTGTGAAAGGGTTGAATTTATTCACAATCTTAATGTGGGCGGTTTCCAGATCTGGCTCGATGAAAGCTTTGTACATTGGATAGACCTATAAGCACAGAAAAACAGCAAAGAAGAATATTAGTAACCGCCTAGGGTACCAGAGTGGGCTGGGACCTTCCCTGCCCCTTGCCCGGCCGGGCTGCAGGCGCAACCCAGGCACCTCGGGCGGCCCAGTTGGCAGCCCAGGTAACTGCATCAGTCCACAGCTTCAAATTCTACCCTACAGGCTCTTTCTTTTTCTTTTTCTTTTTTTCCTACCCTCCAATCTCAATGTTCAGCATAACTCAAGTTTATAACTGGTTGGGTTCATGCTCACTTGGCATCACCCCAGTACCAGTGGGTCTGGCCCGTGATCGGCCTGAAAAACACACCCATCCTTTTTTCTTCGGTGACAACGGAGGGAAGGGTTTGAAAATGTACACAAGGGGGGGAGGGACAGCCTGTCATCACTGAGTCGGACAAGTATAATCCTGCCGGTAGCAAGTATATCACCCGTTTGCCTAATCTTTACCCGACCCTGCAACAATCAACCCGTCCCTAACAAAATGAAGTTGCAGACTGCGGGCTAAAAGGACATATGGTAATTAGGCAGCACAAAGGGAGTAACCGTACACACACACAAACACAGAGAGAGAGAGAGAGAGAGAGGAGAAAAGCTCGTCAACAAGGGGAGACAGAGAGGTGGAAGCAACGAGGAGAAAACCAACTGTTCACACCAAGAGAGAGAGAGAGGCACAAAGAGAGAAACTGTCCACAGAGAGAGAGAGAGAGGGGAAGAAAGTCCATCCACATCGGGAGACAGAGAGACAGAGACACAGAGAGACAGAGACAAAGAGAGAGGTGAAAGCGATGAGTGAAAATCTGACAGTCCCTTCCCGAGGGGTTTAAGGAACGTGGACTGAGGCCAATTTAAGAGGGAAAGGCTAGCCTGGCAGTCGGTCCTACCACAGGGAGTAATCAATGTTCTGTTCATGGGTTTCTTCAGCACGGAAGGAAACATTTGATATTGTTACATTTAGGCTAGGCTACCAGAGTGGCCCGGGACCACTTGCCCGGCCAGGCCAAAAACAAAAGAAAAAAACAAGTTAAAAAAAAAATATATATATACAGGGTCACCAGCCCGTACGTACGGAGGTCCCCGGGCAGACCTCCGTACGTACGGGCGTTCGGGGTCCCGTCCGGGGTCCGAACCCGACCGCGTTCGGCCCCCGCCAAAAATTATTGTGGGGCCTAAAAACAATTATTTTTTTCTGAATTTTTTTTTGTGAGTTCTCTATGACGTGAGGTACATGCCTGTTAATTTTCAAGTCATTTGGATAAGCCAAATAAGAAT